GAAATCTAAAGTGAAATTCGCATTATGAGAGAAGGCTGTCACTCTCAGTGATTGTCACTGTTATTAATAGTTTACATAAATTCACAGCACAGAATGACATTATTCACCGAAGCTTGCCTCTCGCTGTGTGTGTCTGTGTGTGTGTGGGTGGGTGGGTGGGTAGGTGGTTCACATGCATATGCTTGTAGACTAAAAGCCTCCCTGTAAAACAAGGCAGCCCAGAGAACTGTCCCCCTTCATTTCATGATGATCCAATCACAATCCTGATTTTGAAAAAAAACTTATTGTCACTCTTTTAAAAAAATTTCAGGTGTCCTTATTTTGAATGTTTTTTGTGTTAGTGTGTTTGGGTGTTCTTTTAGTTTATGTTACATAAGCATCCGTGTAGCTATTCTTGTCATGGTGTATGATTTTGGTAGTTTATTTTGTGCTTTGGTGTTATTTCTCTTTACTTAGAGAATATGTTTGTCCCACAGCATCCCTTTGTGTATCGTGATTGGATTTTATATCTGCAGTTATTGATCCCAAACACCTATGTGATAAGAGTGACCACCCTCAGGATATATACCGACTGATTTGTTTGTTCACAGTCAAATTTGTGGCCCGGTGGAGCCTCACATTGGGCCCTGAAAAACTGAAAGACTGAATCGTGACAGAGTTGTGTGTATATCGTTATACTGACTGATCTGCAGTGGCGATACTTTACAACTGTAAAGTCTCTATGGCACAAGAGGGCTATGTGTTACTGTCATTTAATGTAACCATCTGATCAAATGGTTGTTCACTATCATGGCAGAAGAATTTATTTTATTTTTTTCAGGTGCCCTGTGAACAGCATTAATGTTTTAGTTTTGTAGACTTATTCTCCTGCTCTAAATTAAACAGGGATACATTCTTCTCATGCTTCTGTACCGATTACCCTGAGGTTATCTTTCCCCACCAGACTGCAAAGTAAAGTATGTTCCCCCTCAGTCAGCACTGCCCTTGCTATGGTTTTCATTCATCTTAATTAACCCCCTGTTGGTAAGGTGTCTACTGTATTGTAGGATGGGTGACACTGACATTTGGGTGGTGAAGAACGCAGACACAGAAAACTGACTTTTCTCTCCATCAAGAGCTGAAGGGATGATACAGGTATTATGAAGAGAATAGCCAAGGGTCACAGACAATTTCAGACAAAGGAAGTCGACCGTATAGAATAAAAGATGTTGCATTAACTCAGCAAAGCAGACTTAATTGCAGATGAAACCTTAATACAGGGAGTAAATTCCATACTACTGATAAACTGCAGATGATCCTCTGCAGGACGGTTAAAGTGCAACTTCAGTAAAAACGATTCACTTAATTCAGCAGGACCTGGTGTAGAAGAGTAAGACAGTTTCCACTGCTGAATCCCCAGAGTCTTTGCAATGCAAGCTTGCAGACAATTCATGATACACGGTGTGGCGGAAAGATAATATGAAACTTTAAGCATTTTTGTTTGCTGATGTTGCAGATAGACCGCTTTCTTTAGTTTTACTGCTCACATCAGATTTTGTCAAAAAATTGTTTAGTCTGTTTCTTTGAATTGCAAAAGCTGAGAATAAAAGTTGTACAAAAGCTTTCTTGAAACTTTGACTTTTACACATATATTTCCGAATATGGACAAAACTGTTTCAAGTTGACCACAAAATGGTTCACACAGCACATCCAAACATCCTATATGATACAATATAAAATACGGGGAAAATAAAGTCAATTAAATTAAAGCCATTAACACTCGTAATTGAGACCTACAAGATCCTGCCTTTGTGAGAAACCATTTCATCAGCACCTTGAGTAACACAGATCAGGGGGGAACTTTAAACAGGCTCACTACACCATTATCATTTTGCTGTGCCATTAGCAGAGATTACCGCCATAATATGGCCCATTAACGTAACTACGTCATTTCTAACAGGATTACAGTCACAAATCTACCACGAAACATAAACCATATGTTCCCATTACAGATGCTGCAGTGGTTGAGAAAAAAGAGTCAACAACTTACAGGAAGACATGCTGGGGTTGTTTTTACAAGCAGACCCTTAACGGAAGAAAAACATTTGCCCAAAAGATACTTTCTGCCGAAGAAAATCCACATATAGATTTACTTGAGATATGCTTTCCGTGATAAAAGAGATGGATTTTGCCTAAGGCTAAAGAAAAATTCATGTTTATGCATGGATGGAAAAATATCAACACAGAAAGAGACCCTCCAGCAGTCGGCAGGTCACCTGAGAGTTTCAGGGGATGAGCCTGAAGACAGACTTAGGGTAAAGTCATGGCCCTCATCTACAGGGGGAGAAATGTTTAAGAGTGGATGGAAAAGTCAGAACTATGAAGCCTGGCTGATTGAGGAGAGGCTGCAGTGCCTTTGTCCTATCAGGGCAATGGTTTGCTAAATTAACATCTTGATGTTTAAAGATTTAAGCATTTCCTCTCATTTCATTAAATGAATGAGAAGAAAGCTTCATTTTCCTTTCTGACTTCTTTTTGCTACCAATGGGGTTAGCACCTTCTGAACTTTTGGAAAATATAAATAAACCCTTCAGCATTGGCTTAATATTTTAAAGATTTAGACTTAATCTATTTTTGCACATGGTTTATGATTAAGCATGGACTGTGCAGTTACAGTCATCACATAACCACGACAACATTTCAAGTTCATCTCCTCAGGGCACCATCGTATATAATTTGATGTGAAGCAGGAACTGTGATGTGAGGGGAAAATAAAGTAACTGAGAGTCCGTCAAAGCTGCGTGAAACATCAAAATCAGTTGTTTTGAGCAATGATTTCTCGGAGAAAAGAGGGAATTTGAAAACAAGTCAAACTTAGACTTGAAACTAACAACAGAAATAATTCATAGGTTATATAACCAATGCATCAAAATTCAGAAAGCATCTGTCCAACAACAACTTTAGATTTTCATGTTGAACTGGTGGTCAATATATTAAATAATGAATTTCCTCACAGTCTGTTGAAGTCTGCACATAGCCTCAGACCCCCTACAAAAAAAATCACTTGCTATTCTTTGCAACAACTATTGTAGATTGGCTGTTTCGCATTCAAATTCATTCCAAGCCCGACAGTAAAAGAAATTATTAGGAGGAAATAGCACACGAAAAGCACAGGGCTAATGACAGCATTTCTAGAGGACCAAGACAAAACAGTCTTTTTTTTTTTGCCTTGCTCATTCAGAGAAGGTTTTTTTTCCTGTCAGCGAACTCATCAACTGCGTGTGGTTGTGTATTTTTGCACACAGACACACTGATTTCTTCAATTGACTTAGTCTGTGTGTGAGCGGCCACAAACACGCAGAGGCAGAGCAACAGAACCCAGAAAAAGCAGGAGCAAAACCACACCAGATGCGGACTTTAAAAAGCTCTTTTATGAAGTCATTCATTCAGTTACAGTGGTAAAATTATGCATGAACGCTGCCACAGAGTGAGACAGCATAGCCACACTATGCGATCAGCTGTAATCCATCGTGTGGATGTCATAATTTATATTGACGTGTGGTCACATGTATACAGTTTCTTTCAGATATACTGTTGACATGTCATTAATTCAGCTGTATCCAACTAACTGTACTTTAGAGTGTGTGGCCCTGAAGTCTCCTTCCACCCACTAACAAGCTGGCTGTCACCTGGAGATGAAACATGTGCCTGTGTTACAGGAACATCACCAGTCTAGGTTATAGTCAGAGCAAAATTGTGACAGAACCCCTGCTGTCTCTATTTCTTCCAAAAATTCTTTGACTTGAGGTAAGAAAGAAAAGCACATGGGTGTGCATTCTTCTGGTCAAGTAGGAAAACGGCAGCATGCTCAACAATGTGCTTTTAAGTAAAAAAGGATGATGTATACAAAAGTAGTGTTCCCCGGTTTTGTTTAGCAGCACTTGTCAGTGAACATTTGAGCAAAGTGCGTGGCTGCTTAGTCCACCCGGGAAAATGCAAACTCTCAAAGCTCCATAAAAGCCGCGGTCAGCAGCCATATGCCTCTGCCTCGTAATCACTGATTTTTTTATAAGCAATGAATGGAAGTCTACAAGAATGTGCAAAGGAGTTACAGCTAGTCCTCCCAACAGTAGGATACTCCTAAGGACAGGCAACTGACCGATAATGGTGGCTGTCTAGTATAGTTATAAAAGACCTGGAGAACTATCAATGAGACCTAAAACGGACTTCTCTTTGGTGGTGAAAACACATTCATCTTTTTTCTTTACCCAATTATTCCCATTCAGGGTTATCTAGGGAATATCTAGCTGTTATTGATGAGAGATTGGCTACATCCAGTCTTTTGGGAAAATTACCTTCATTTTAAGCAATAGTACCCTTTTCAACTATGCTAATACCCTTTTATGAACAAGGCCTTTATAACACTCATCAGCACCTTCATTAGCAAGAGTCTGCTAATCAATTTAAAAACATGTTTTTTTTAATAAACCCTGCTAAGCAGTAAGTTCAAAACAGATTTTCCTACCGCTGTAAAGATTTGTATTTGAGGAAAAAAAATAATGCCAAGTTAAATTAAACAAACACCTCTCAAACTGTTAAAAATGGGGGTGTTTGGAGCATGTATTTAAACCACATCCAAGATAAACATTTTACCAGAAGGAAAATGGAACCATCTATATTCCATGAACCTGTAGATGATGATAAACAAGATAACATCTGTCAAAAAGATGAGAAAGGGCAGAAAATTCTTCACATGTGCAGTCAAGATGGACAAATAATTGGGAGAACAAGAACACTTATAACTTCTAAAAGACTCAACCACCCCTTATTGTGGTAAGAAACTGTTGGCACTCATCATTTGTGTTGCTATCCAGTGACAGCAGGTTTGTCATAGTCTCCATCTCCACTGGAACAAAGGCTTCAAACCCGCATGTCTTCAGACTGCTCGATGAAAAATAGTGTTGCTGGTAAAAGCCCCGGACAGAGTCTCTCTCCACCGACAGGACCTGCACAGCCCGGCTCGGCTCGGCTCGGCTGGGTGGGAGCGCAGTGCAGCGCCTCCTGGCTGATGAAGTGCCTCTCCTCCTCCTCCTCCTCCTCCTCTCCTCCCGCCGCATGCAGCGCGCCGGGCACCATGTATCCAAACACCTGGATGTGTTCAAGGGATGCCACCAGCTCCCGCTGCCCTTTTTACGGTCCCTCTTAAGTGGCGTCTTTTTTTGGGTTTCGGAACGCGATATCCTGGATGTATTTTCTCCGGACTGTGACGCGGAGTTGAGCGCAGCTCGGCGAAAACATGTGGAGAGTGGTCGTGTCCTCTGGTGGGAGCACGGGAGCCAGAGACTGAACAGTTATTGTGTTTATTATCTTTTTTTTTTTTTTGGGTGAAAAGGAGCCTTTTAGGAAACAGAGAGACGAGATGGTAGAGAAGTAAGTACGCAAAGAGCAAGTTTTTTTTAATCCATTCTGCTTGATTTGTACTACACTGGTGCCACATTTCGTATTGTAAAGATGGCAAATAATTATATTTAAACATTGAAAACAATTATTTTCCTAATACTATTTTTGCTTTATTTATGCTGCACAGACTATTTAAAGCACTCATATATAAATTCTACAGCTGTGATATTTTGATCACGTTGTCGATGTGAGACTTAATTTTAATTTAGTTTATATCATTTTATACGGAGGGTAATAAGGAATATTTTCAACTCAATTTCGTATTTCTGCCATAAACATGGTCTCCAAGCCTTTAAAATATACATCTGATTTTGAGTGAGTGTTCTCCATGACTGGTTTCTGTGAAACACTGACTACTAAGAGGTCTCAGTAAGACCTCTTGGGGAGGTTATGTAATAACATCATGAGGTAGTAGCAAGCTGTTTGCTGTGACAAATGGTATATTTTTGTGTGGAGTTTTATCCCTTTAGTAGCTGCACTATACACAACTGTGGAAGCCAGCGTAATGAAAAGTCATCAGTTACATTCCTGCATATAGGTGGATGAATGTATCATTTTTTTTACCGTACACAGAGTTACACATGTCTCTACCTGGCTGCTACTCTGTTTTGAGACAGCTGAGCTGAGTGTGATGGATGTAAATGGAGGAGTCTGTGTCAGCAGTGAGGATACAAAAGAGAAAGATAAAAGATTGCTGATGGAGGGAAATTGTTGCAGATCACTGGAGCTTGAAAGAGCGTGCTGCTCCATTGTTTATGGAACACAATATTTGTATCAATTAAAAACCGTTTAGAACACAATAAGTGCTGGGTGCATGTCGCTGAACTGTTCCACTCCGGTTCGCTTGTTGATCTTGCATCCAATTTTCACCGGTGCAGCCAAAATGAATATTTCAGGATCAGTTTTACAAGAGCACAGAGAAAAACAATTACCCAACCAGTTCAAGCAAAAACACTTGGGCTTTCAGACTAGATTAAGTCATTTGCAGGTGGTTTGATGGAGCAATAAATATTAATAAGTTCCATAATTTCAGTGGCTGCACCTGACCTTCTGGACCCAAAGGCCGCCGTCCACAACTCCAAGCCTCGACTGTCATTTTCAGCCAAACCAGTGGTGCTGAACACTCCGGAGGAGGAGTGTGACACCCGGACTACTGTCATGAGGTGGAAAACTGTGTCAGCCATCTTTTTCCTGGTGGTGCTCTATCTCATCATTGGCGCTACGGTGTTTAAGGCACTGGAGCAGCCTCATGAGAGCTCCCAGAAACTGGCCATTCTTGCTGAAAAACTGGAATTCTTGGCCATACACACCTGCGTAAACTCGTCTGAGCTGGAAGACCTGGTCAAGGTGGGTGGAAGCTTTGGTTCATAGTCTTATACATGATCTGTTGACTGATTAAGTGCTTTTATTTGTCCAAAAAAATAGGTCATGTTATTTACAATTGGGTTGATTTGCGTAAAACAGATTGATCTTTTTCTGTGGATTGTCATGAATTTAGAGGGCATAAAATCTTTAGTAACATGACGCAAAAAATTAGTTTTCTAAATTGTCAGTTCAGGTGAAATTTTACTCCGAAAAAGAACTTTATCAGTGACAATCATGTTATTTTTCTGGTTTGTCCAGTAATTTAGCTCTATGTGAGTCTTCATCTGTTTAGACCTGTTTAGTATCTGAGTCTTAATCTAGCACTGGCTTTGATATGATGAACAGTATTAAATTGGTTTCATAAGATAAACCTAAAGTAGTGAAGTACCTCTCAGGTAAATTTCAGCTTTCTGGGAGCGTTTTCAAGAACACAGGCCAAAATGTGTCTAAAAATAGTTGGAAAAACTGATCAAAGCATTGACACATAATGTGGTGCTGAGCAATGGAAAAATATTAACAGATGCATCAGCTGGGTCTTTGTACAGTCATCCAGTATCCTCTGCCATGAATTAATTATGCTTATATGGACCTTTTTCTCATTTGTCCGGTATTACTTGTGTTTTTGTTCTTATTTAAAAACCCATGCACGTTTAGACTGTTGGAAGATGCTGGCTCTGCTGCAGACGTGAAGCTAAACACACGCCACAGTATTAGGCTGTCAAACATCCGAGTCTTTATAACCATAACGTACAGCTTTTTTAACACATATTTCCAGATCTCCAACATCAGGACCTTTGCTTCACGAGCATGATTTTTCATCAATGCTTAAATCATGCTCTGAATTTTTTCTGATCAAATCAACTTTATACATAGCATTGAGGTTTTTTATAAAGGTCTTGGGCTCATAGGTTTTATTTTATAGATTAGTTGATGTCACATCTGAAGTTGCCAGTTCTGATGAAAAAAACATTCTCTCATGGGAAATCTAGATGAAATATAGCCTGTACGGATGATGATTACATCCAACATGATGCAGAGCTGAAAGGCCTTTAAATTTTATGGATACCTTTAACTGCATCCTCACTGTAGAGATAGATAGATAGATAGATAGATAGATAGATAGATAGATAGATAGA